TCTTCTTCTCGAGCTTCTTCTGTATTTTTGTCTTTCCCTTGGCTGTGCCGTGGAGGGTGGCTTGTGAGTATGGCAGGGAAGTCACCATAGACATGTGCTGGAACTTCTTGCTTAAGGTGCTGCTTGAATAGCTGGAGAAGCTCATGGTGTCTGAATTATCCGACATCTCCTTCCTGTACCGTTTCTCCATCCTCTCGTGGTGCTTCTTCTGCAGCTTCACGCAGTCCTTAATCCGCCGCTCCGCGTCCCGAAAGGCCTTGTCCTTCAGCTTGCTCACCAGCTTCGGGTTGAGGCTGCTCTGCTTGGCAGCGATAGAGTCCAGGTATCGCACGCACTCCATGTGCCCCTTCATGGCTGCCATGTCCAGCGGGGTGTGGTAGTCGTTGTCCAGGCACCAGATGTTGGCCCCAAAAGAGATGAGGAAGGAAAGGCAGTTCAGGTGGCCGTTGGCTGCTGCCAGATGGAGAGGGGTGTTGCCCCAGATATCACATTTGTCTGGATCACCCCTAGACAGCAAGAAAAACCACCGGTTAGCATGCAGTCATGGCGGACGGACTCTACTGAGATATTCCAAATTGTACCAGGGCAAATCAGCACCATGAGCTGTTGCCTCCTCAAAATATGAAGCTACAAGCCACAGCCTAATTTTAAGGGGGTCTTCTGGAGGGTTGTACCATTGGCATAGAATCATGTGCCTGACATACAAGTCTGCAGTAATTCCCATGACTTGAATTTATCTCTCAGGAGACACATGTTCCTGCATCAAACCAGCTTTTGGATGGAGACAAAACAGCTTCTGAACAGCCCAGAACTGAGATGTGGGGCTAATTCCAACTCTGAGCTTAAGCTTGTTGTAGAGTTTCAAATCTCAAACTTCCCATTAAATTCTAGTCAGATTCTAACTTCAGATCTTGACTTCATTCTGATTCTGTGGAGAGACATCCCAAAATACCTCTCTATGTACCACATCCTGCGTGAGACACCATGGGGTCCCACCATGACAGTAGCACCACCCTAAAACAGCCATCCTCAGTGACAGTTCTGGAACCCATCAGCTGCTGCACCTTCCCACCCTCCTGTTCAGTGGTGCTGGGAGAAATTCAGGGCACAAGAGAGCACGTTGTCAGTAGAGAATAAGTGCAAAGTTGCTGGTATTGGCCTCGGGGTTGGGGTTTTGTGGGGGGTTTTGCTGCACCACGCTCGGTCTCGATTGCACGGCTGGAAGCACATTGGTATTAGCACATCCTGAGAATCCAGTTTCAGAGAAAGTGGAGATTAGGTTTCTGCACTCTGCAAGAGCTGGACACTCGACTAACGCCGTCAGCATCTGTTCTGACATCGTGCCGGCCCCCACCCCAGCAAGCTGCTGACGGGGCACAACCGCCTGCCCCCGTCTGCCTCCCGTGACAGGACGGACACGAATCTAGGATTCAAGGGAACTCTGCCCTCCTGACGTGCCCCTGTACCTGTGACCTGCTGAAACAAGAGATCGTTCACACGCCTGCTGGCACCAGCCTTCGCCCGAGCGCGTGTGCTAATGATATGCAGCCAGCAGCAGGATCTGTCATCGCGGCGCTCTCCCTCCCTGCACATGGAGAAGGCAAAGCGTTCATTAAGGCCCTGCAGCTCCACCACCCTCAAGAGCAACTCCCTGCAGGGCTCTGGCAGAGCTCTGGCTCAGCACAGCTCCCGCCCATTTCTGTGCCACCCTGTCAAGGAGCTCTAGAGGAATCGAGCGCTGCTGCTCCACCACGGAGACCTCAGCTCCAAGCCCTGGTGGCACCAGAAGTCTGGAAGGCAAATGCACACTTGAGACCATCAGCCCCTGTTACTTTTCTCCTTGCTGCTTTAGGACCTGTGATGACGAGAGCTGGGAGCAGCAGAGCCCAGAACCCTCTCCCACACCCCACATGCTCTGTGCCATGGCTCGCCTCAGAGTCTGAACACTACATCAGAGAGAGCACGGAGCATGGGCTCCCTCACAGGAGCTGTGGGGCTTCCTTCTCCTGCTGCTTTGCATCTCCATTGCTAGCACCCATACAGGAGCCTCAGTAACAGCCTCGCCCAGCACATGCACCCCCCCAGCCCACGGGCAGGCTCCCTGCTGCCCACGGGGCACTGCTGCTCAGGGAACAGCAGAGCCACCTGGCTGGGGCAGCGACTGGTTTGCAGTCCTCAGGCTTTGCTGACATCTCAGCTACGTAACACTGGAGGGAAGTGATTCTGGAAAAGGCAGAAGCAATAAAGGCAGCATCCAGAGGTTAAGCTAGAGATTATTTGGAGCTAGAGCATGAGCCTCCTGGCTGTATTCCCCCCGAGCTGCTATGAGGTGTGTTCAGCCTTCCCCTTGGGGGAGCACCAGCAGTAGCTCCACCATGCACGTATTTTCACAACTACTGTAGAAACTTAGTAAGTACAACCTTGAGCCTGCTGGCATATTAAGCAAGTTGGTCAAAAGGTTCAAAATTGTGAAGGGGCCAAGAAGACCCAGAAACCCTGCAGGTTCTCTATATCCAGGGTCTTTGACACCTCTCACAGAAGCAGAGAAAGGCTTCAAAGGCAGGTGCCAGGGAGAAGCAAGGCAAGAGATCACAGGGTTGAAAAGCTGTGATGTCAGCAGAAGGAGAGGAAGGAGCTGCCAGGACGGTGGCAGTGCTGAGTTTCCAGGAGCTCCTTGCCTCTACCCTCATAGTGACATGTCCAGGCTGGGAAATTCATGGTGAGGATAAATATTTGATGAATTGCAAGAGAGGAGTAAATTATTGATGGAGGTGGATTAAAGAGCCAGTGAAACTGGAACTGCCGGCACTGGCAGCGGGACTCCAGCGTGCGAAGGGCTCTTCGTTTGTTTACATGTGCTCTGAATGGGCACACGTGTGCCCGACCTGGGCCAGACGAGCCAGGGCACCAGGAGGGTCCCACCGTGGATGCGGACTCATGATGTGGACAGTGAGTTAGCAGTGGACTCACTAGAAATAACCTTGCTTCCCAAGCCAAGTGTACGGATGCTCAATCCATAAAGAACATCTCAGAGCCCATTCTCCCATCTGTCTGGTTCAGGTGGCAAAGGCCAAAGCCAGGGAGGTCTTGGGGGATTCGTATTTGAAGTCTACTTTCCTCAAGCTTTTCACTGCCTCAGAGAGTGAGGGGAAGAGCATCAAATCCAGCTTTCCCTGCATATTCCCACTGACTAGAAACAAGAGTATTAGAGCTAAATTAGATCTCTAGGTCCCTTTGCTCCATAAATGCCTGCCGCAGGCACTGGAAAAGCATCAGAAGGAAATAAGAACAGTGACTTGCAAAGTAGAGGTGTTTGATCCAGCACAGATAATAGACACGAGGCCCTGCCTCTGGCAGGTGTCTGTCCCAGCAGAACTTCGTCTCCAGGAGGAGATGCTGACTGCAGGGTCCACTAAGTGGGAACGTATTTTAATAACAGGGGTGAAGTGCAGCACTTCTCAACTTCAAAGCGTTTTCGACTGCTGAGTCAGCTCCTGTAATAATCGTTCTTAAAAACGCTGTTAATTGAGCCCCTCAGGTGGACGTGTGCATCTCCTGAGTCACTGTGTTCACACCGTGACACGCACGCTCACTCCCTTCCTGCTGGTTTTTCCCCTCCACTTCTCCCATAGGATCCCAATTAGCCAGGGAATCCAGCAGCACTTACATACGTCTTTCCCTGGCTGCACGTGTGAAGTTCCTCCAATAGCAATGGGCTGGCTCACTCCTGGCTCATGGGCACACGAAGGATCAGGCCCTCAGACCAGGACCCAGCTGGCTGCAGAAGGATCAGGCCCTCAGACCAGGATCAGGCCCTCAACCAGGGCTCAGCTGGGTGCAGAGTGTCTCTGGCTCCCATAAAATGTTTTTTTTTTTGATATAGGAAAAGGGAAAATTAATTTATGGCTTCAGGAAAAAAACCCCAAACACCAGCTTCAGCACAGCCAGTCAGGGCAATGACCCAAGCAAAGCCTGGAAACAAGCAGAGAAGATAAGGTCTGAGGCCCAGAGCAGAGCCTCAGGTCCCAAGCTGGTGGTAGGTCAAGGATTCAGCTTTTCTCCAAGTACAGATGCCCCCAAACCCAGCGCAGATGCTGTAGGTGAGGTTCATCTCAGGGAGGAAGCTGGGAGCCTTCCACCTCAGCAAAAGGGAGGCTGGCAGTGGTTGGCACTGCCAGGATGAGGGCTGGCCATGCTGTGGCAGTGCCTGGGGGCACGTCTGCTGGCTCAGCACTTCGCCTTGCCCAGAGCTAAACCTGGCAGGTCGGCCCCGGGGGAAGGAAGGAAGGAAGGAAGGAAGGAAGGAAGGAAGGAAGGAAGGAAGGAAGGAAGGAAGGAA